GAGCTACAGCGTTCACTGGAAATTATGAATTAAGGTACAGCACTATTTACAGGGGTTCAGCAGCAGAGCGCAGCTGGTATGCGAGGAATCCAGTCCACAGCAGTTCCCTAGGCAACCTTAGGTGTTGGTAACATCAGGAGAACTTAATTTGCTGCTGGTAAGAAAAAACACCATGGAGGATGGAGCAGAGTAGAGACTGTAGCCAGGTTCTAGGATAACATCACTGGGATGGGAGTTTGAGGGTAGTGATAAACTGTGCACTTGCTACAGTTTGCTGTCTCCTGACAAAATGGAATCTTTTGAGTGAGCTTAGCTCCTTACACACTCATTAAATGCTCATTATAATACCAAAACAGACCTCCATCCCAAAGGCTACTTGCCTCCAAGGTGCAACTATCCCCCGCTGAGCCTGTACACTGAATTTTTTAGCCTATAACTTTAGAAGTGAGGCAAGAGAATTTTACACAAATCGTAAGCAAAGTATGTGTATGGCTAGAGTCACTCAAGCTTCACCTGAAAAATAAGAAATAGTATAAAAATCATTTAACGGAGGGGGAATGTCAGGGAATACACCATCAAATGTTAGATATGAACCATCTAACTTCTGGGATCAGCTGATGGGCTGAGCTGCTTTTTCCCTGTTTTCTGATGCCTATTGGGTAAGATTCACAGAGTCAGTTATACCAAGTGCTTCCTTGGGGAACTTAGAAGGCTCTGTAGAGTTGCTTATAATTTAATGTATTTGTAGTTGGTTGCGTTATTTGTGTTCTTGGTTAAACTCATGCTTTGCAGACAGTGTTTTTATCACTGATAATCTGAAGAACCTGTAATCTGTTACTTTAATATGGCGCACTATTCATTAATCTAGCTATAAGAGTTCTTAATTTGGGCATGGCCGAAGCTCTTAAAGAATGATCACGCAAGCTCATTTGATGCCATTAGATTAATTGGGCAATGCACTCAAATAGTGAATGCCACTGGAGTTATAGTGCCAGATTGGACATTGCTCAGAATCTAAGCTCAGCCACACCCAGCCCTTCTGATGTCTGAAGACAAGCTAGAAAATAAGGGGGTGTATTTTCTGCCAAATTACGTTGCCCTTTAGTGTGCAGTGATGTGCAGAGAGGGTGAGTAGTGAGAAAAGCGTGTAACGTATGTACTGCCAACACCTTTTACACAGTGGTCTTTATGACTCATGTCATAAGATATATATGGTCAGATTAATCTTCTTTTCTTTCATGGCAGTAAGAAAGTGATTGATGGGCACAGACTGAACTGATTTGCCTACTGTCCTTCAAAGCAGTCAACAGTTAAAATTAGAAGGGACAAAGTAATAAATGTGGGGTCAAACGGGCAAGGAAGATACTTTTTCAGATTTCCTCAGATCCCAGATTCACCCCAAGCCCATTAAGTGTGGGTACTAGGCTGTTCTGACTTGCAGCCAGTGACACAGTGAGCTTCTGTAGACACAAGAAGGTCTCCACGGAGTCTTTGTAGAAATAGGAGCATCGGTCTCACACTCAAGTGTTTGTCTTTCATTATACACCTCAAAATACGTCATGAGGCTTGTGACTGTTGAGTCCCATCTGGCCTGGTGAAATAAATAATTCCCCTGAAATTTGAAATATCTCATTCAAAAGAAGCCTGTTCTGCCAGGAAAAAATAGAAACGTCCCTGATCAGCTGTAGACTCTGCTTTTTTGTGTGTGTGCATACACTCAGATGTGCTGCTGTCAGATTTGTGACATGGGTGAGTTGCTCACTTGTGATGGTGTGAATATTTGCTTACTCTTCTTCTGAGTGGCTTATAAACAGCTGATACACTGGGGGCTACCTCGTGGTCTAGTCTCTTCTTTTAACTAGAAAGTCTTTTAGTTGTAAGAGGAGAAGTTGCCATGTGGGACATGAAGTATGCCTAGATCTGCAGTTAAAGGCATGGCTTTGTTTTTGTAGCTCCTGAAGGAGATTGTGATGTTGCTGTTGCATGGCATGTGGCTGTAGATTCACATGGTATCCGGTGAAGATAATCATCCTCTCTTCTCTACATACTAGAGCAAGTATTCCCAAAAGGTATCCTGCCCAGGGTAAGTACTTTTCTTTCTTTTTCTTTTTTTTTTTTTCTTTTTTTTCTAAATAAAGTTCAGGTGGTGTATGGGCTGCAGCTGAACTTTCTGTCTGCCACTAGATGCATTAGAGGGAGTCCTCTCCAGCATAGTGTCTCAGGCATGTATACAATCGTTATGTGCTGTGTGAGAAGTGTCTGGGAGGCTAGGATGTCACTGACAGGTAAAATAATAAAAATGGTTACAAACTTCATGCTAAGTGTAAAGCCATGATTTAAGTTACAACAATGATTTCTTACTTAGGTCTGGGAGCTCATCAGTAAGAAATGTCAGGGATTAAGGAAACTCTGGAATTATTGACCCAAGGAATGTATGAACGATTTTAATAACTCAGCAGGATCTTAGGACAGCACAACATGGAGTGTTTCTGATGGAGGTGATGGCTTTGAAAGTTCCCCAGGATATTTAGAAGACTTTACCTGGAACAGCCTTTATTAGTTAAAGCCCATCGAGAAAGGTTAAAATAAAACAAATTAACAGAGAGTGTGCTGGAAGATTGAATGTGGGCACACTTTGAAGGAGGGAAACTATAAAGAGCTCCCTGTTGTGTAGACTGTTCAGTACATGCTGAGAAAAGATCTCATTTTCCTCTGTTCTGGTATCTCAAATAAATGCTAGAAAACACCCAAAATATTTAGCTACGAGAAGGTATTGGAAACGTACATGTTGGGTGTAAACTGGCAAAGTGCAAATTTAGGAAATTAAGAATCTTTTCCATGGTTTCCCATAGAAGCAGAAGCCAGAAAGTATTAAGATGGCATTTTTTCACTTGGAGAATAAGAGATGCTCCCACATGAATTCTGAACTCTTGGTAAAGCTTGACTCTTAAGAAGCTATCCTGGCATGGGGATATTCACTGGGCATCAGCGATTACACTCTGACCAGTGCAGGCAAGGAAGAGTGAATGTTGAAAAAGGATTGCTTGTTGGTATTTCAAAAGCTCAAATAACTAGCTTTTAAACTTGAGGCTCTTCTTTCTCTTTGGATGGCATATCTATCCTTTTTCTCCATTTCCTATTAGATGAGAATTTAAAAGGAAACTTTTTTTAGCTAAAGTAACATTCTCAGTTACTGTAGCTGTATTGCCAACTGCTGATGGCAATAGCTGTATCTGGTGATTTGTTTTCAGTCCGATGGGTTGCCCAGGGCCTGAGGAAAATAAGGCTAGGATGACTTTGCTGGTGATGGGTGAGTAAATACTGTTTTAGGGGAGTAAGAAATTAAAGATGTGTTACATACAGAAATGAGTTCAGAAGTAAAGGCAAGCTCAGAAGTATGTTTAAGATATAAGGGGTGTTTTTAATTCAAAATAGAAGAGCATGAACCCAGAAACTCGAGAGTTTCAGCATTTTACTTCATTACCTTGCTGTGACGTTGCACTGCATAGACTTGAAAACTGGATTTTGGCTATGGGAGACTACATGAGAGGTGCAGGTAAGTCCTGGATTCTTCTAAGTGTATGTCAAAGCATAACAAAAAAAACCAGTTTTTTTTTAGCTGTAAACAATAGCTTGTTTGGTGCCCCTCACAGGACAGTGAGATGTGTCTGTTGTTTGTGATGCATGTGCTTTATTTTTCTGCCTTTCTTGCTATTTCAGAATGAAATGGTTAGAGAGACTTTTTGGGAAGACACCTGCTGAGCAGCAGGTTATACAGGGGAGGTTACACAAAAAGACCTGAGGGAACTCAGGAAAGATGCAAGGTTTGGCTGGGTGCTTGTAGTGGTGCTTTTGAAAAGGAAGGAAAAAGGTAAGGAAGAGGAAAAGGAGAAAAGGTCAGGCAAGGCAAGAAATAAAGAGAGAGGCTCAGGGAAAGGAGGAAGACAAGGGGAAATGGAAAGGCAAGGCACAAGGTGAAAGGGAGGGGGTAAGGAGAAAGCAGGGGAAGGGCGAGGAAAAAGTGGAAAGAGGAATGTAGGAAGGAAAGGCAGGAAAAGGCGTGTCTGGTTTTTTTTTTTCCTTTTTAGTTTTTATTATTTGTTTCAGTGAGCAAATGGAAAAGCAGAGGCTGGGGTAGTGTTGCTGTAATGGAGCTGCCCTGGGGCTGTGAGTCAGGGCTGATGTCTGCCCCATCCCACAGGACACTGGGGAGCCATACTTCACTTCTGCAATCTCTCTGCCCTTCATGTGCTGACATAAACACAGGTGCAGCTCCAGGTGATTCACGGATAACTGCAGAAATCAAAGTTCAGGGAAATGGTAGGGGTTTCCTTCAGATAGTCTTTAAGTGTGTGCAGTGTAGCATTGGCTTAAAGTAGTTAAAGAGCAGACTTCAGTGAGCCTGCTCACATTTATCTTGTAATGAGTAAATACAAACTAAAGAAGTGCTGGCTGATCTAGTTTGAGAAGATTGGATGCACGTTGGAAATGAGAAAAAAAAAACATGCAGTTCAGGTAATGGCTGCTGTACAAAATAAATGAAGCAACATAGTGGGGATGAAGGGAGCCAAAACATGCCTTGGGAGAACATTGTGGGTAATGGTTGATTTTTTTTAGAAACCTTTTAATAATATCAGGAGCTGATTTAATGAATATTGAAGTTCTTGCTTAATATATATGATTATTTGATTATTTTTCTTCATGTACCTTTTATGCATATTGTTTTATACAAATTGAATTTGTAATAATTTCATTATGAAGTGTTGGAGTTAGAATAATAGCTGTCAGTCACAACGCCTCCTTTAATGCCTCCTCATGAGGGGATAGGGGATTTAATCTAAAAATGAGGATATTTGCCCTCTGGACTCCATTTGTGATTGAGATATGGCATAGAGTGAGTGGTTTGGCTGGGGAGCTTTTTTTGTGGCTGCACATTGCTATAGTTGCATCCAATATCCCACATCCCATATCCCATGCCCCACATCGCATCACATTCTCACTGCATCTTAGGGAGTTTATTGGGAGGTCATCTTTGCTGAGGCTGAGTGGATAGGTGAGGGGCTGCAGGTGATGCTGATCTTGGTGTTGCGACTGGTTCTGTTCTCATGGAGCTGTGAAGGTTGGCTTTGTTTTTCCCAGCGGAGCATGGTGGTAGAAAGGCAGTCAGCGGCATTCATCTCTTTTTCCAGTAGTAGTAGGTGACACAGACACGTGTATACCCTGCTAAGGCAACTCAATGGGGAGCATTAAGCATGTAGCTAATTTTAATTACAATTACACAGGCCAATATAATAAACTCATTTACTGTCACCTTTTTTCTTGTCCAGTGGCGTGTTGGAAAACCTCCTATTCTTCTTGTTCTGGCGGCTCGGGGGCACTCTGTTCTGGCCTCTAGAGTGCCCCTTGTGCTGTCTGCTGTGCCCCTGCTGGGCCCTCACCATTCTTGTATCCACTCAGCCCCAGCTCCCTAGACACTGATGTGTCTGATGGTCTGGAAAGATGCTAGGGAGAAGTTCCTTTGTTGAGCGCATAGCGGGGACCCTGTCACCCTGGTGATGGGGAATCCTCCCTGTGAGCTCACAGGGACAGAGATACTGGCAGCCTTCAGCATCCCAAGCACCAGATCAGCCACCCCTTTTCCCCCCATTGGTACTCAGACCATGATCATGCCTTTCCTTATGCTTGGTGATGGAGAAGTACCTTTAGGATGAGCCACTGCCACATGCCCATGCACAGGAGTGCACACACACCTCCTGAGTGGTTCATCCTGGCTCAGCATCATCTTCCTTGGTTTCTTGCTTCCTGGGCAGCTTTGGGGGAGCTCTATGCACCCCAACTCCCATACTCAACTCTACCATATACCCCCCCTTTGCCCATCTTCCTACCACCTCACAGCCCTTTTCCACCAGCACCGTTCCAGCAATGAGACAAGACAAGGATGCTTTCAGGACTTCATTGGCAGGCTCACACCCTGTGGGTGGCCCTGTTTTTTTGGTAGAGGGAATACTGAGACATCACATCCTGTCCAGTGGTAGCCGATGAGCAGGGAATCTTCCAGTGCACTGGGAGCCAAATTACTGGCCTGACTTCTTTCTTGGGGACTTCTGTAGCACATGTTTTTGGCCTGCAGGACCCAGCATTGTGAGCTCCCCTTGTTACCACAACGATCTAACTGCCACTGTTTCTCTGTTGGTAAATGTCATGGAATCATTGAAGTTAGAAAAGACTTCTAAGAACATCTAGTCCAACCGTCCACACTTGAGCTTCTGGACTTTCTTGTACTGTGCCATGTTAGCCTCCACTTCTGCACCTTCTGAGGTGCACCTTCACAGATAAGAATGTGGCTGGTTGTAAAGTGGTAGTGATACAGTGGGGTAGCTGTTGGTTTCCGCTACTCAGGTGTCCCTGAGGAAGCAAAATGAGAAGGTTTGCCTCAGTGTGCCACCAAATAGCTCATCCCAATGCTTCATCCAGTGTTTCATGCAGCATTTCCAACCAATTTCCTTCTCAAAAGCACATTTCTAAGCAAATAAATTACCAACAAAAATGTTGTTAAATAGAGACTCGCTAGAGCGTAGATGAGTTAGGAGAGTCTCTGGGTAATTTTCCAACTTGCTTTGGCTCCAAACACAGTCTCCGAATGAGTGAAGTGAGCTATAGAGCCCCTGAAATGCCCCTGCACCAGGTAGTGTACATGACTGTTGCTTCTTGTTGCATTCGTTTATGGCTTTTTGTGGTCAGATGAATGTTCATCTTGCAGGTCTGGGGCTGGTCTGAGATAGAGCTCAGCTGTTGACCACTTCTTCCCTGCTTAGCACCAGAGAGTAAGCTGTGAAGCACCCCTTGTCAGCAGGGGTTCACGAGCAATTATTCTAAAGCTATTTTTAGCAGATTTCCATGTTTTTCTTTTTTTTTCTTGAGAATTGAGAGAATAGATGGCAATTCAGCACTGTGCCATGGGAAAATTACAGCCTGAATCACATAGGATAGTCAAAGAAGAGACGGACTATCAGTGTTTATACCAAAATAGCCTATTATCCAGGTGTCTTCCATAGATAAATGATAATCAAACACTCCTCAGCTCTCTAAAGGTCATGAATCCTTTTGAGTATCCAGGCTACATCACGTTTTGTTATGTTATTGTTCTGCACATCTAAAAAGACTGTCACCATCCTACATAATGTGTCAGTTGGCGTATTTGCTTCCACAGGACATCTTGCAGAGAAAAACACTTTGCATTTTGCTGCATTTTCCAGCCCTGGTGCAAGCCATTTGTCTTCCCAAGGCTGACACCCACCAATCACTAATTTTCAGAAGAGATACCTCTGTCCTCACAAGGAGACTTACAGCATGATCCTTAGCGCTTGTAGGATGCAAAGGACGCTTTCCCTATGCATCTCCTTCTGCACTGATGTAGGGCATGACAATCCTATGCGGGGTCCTATAGCAATGTGTTACTGTTTTCCCTGAGTTAATTATTAAAATCAGTCCCAAATTGGATGTGCTGGCGCACTGGACCAAGGATGCTCACCTCCTGCTCTGCAGCCAGGATTAATCATTCATCCAGTGACACACAGGAGCACCATATAAATGCTGGACTGGGTTTCCCACTGCTGTTTTTTTTTGCATGGAGAGGAAAAGCAGAGGTGGTGACCACGCTCTGCTGTCGCTCCACCACACCATGAAGGCGGTTGTTACCTTCCTGTTCCTGCTTTTTGTAGCAACTCATGCTGAATACCGAGGTAAGAATGCTTACTCTCAAAATCCTTGTACTACTGTGGCTGAAACAGATTTACTGCCCCATACTTAGTAGGGTCTATGATACTGTACATGTTAATGTATTAATGATTTTGAGCTTGTAAAGAAGTTCAGAAATGAGGTTTACCATCCTCTGTTCTTTTTCTGTATGGAGACAAGTGAATTGAACACCTACTGTTGTGCTCTCTGCTTAAAAATGTAGGGAAGCATAGGTCTGCCTCAAAATCCTGCCCAAATGTATGTTTTCACTGCTGGATTATCGAAGTGAAGAGGAATTCAAGACGCTCACACCCGCAGCAGGGCAGACTCGTGTTCACTTTAGGATAGCCTCTGGGTTTCCTCTCCTTTAAGAGACTACCTCCCCAGTAATAACAGCAACAAAATTCCAAACCGTCACAGAAGAGTATTGACTGCTCCTCTTCATCTCTCTCTGCTTCAGAGATGCAGTCTTTTCCACAGAATTGCCAGGATTTGTTGCTGTTATGTTTAGTCACCTAGCTCTGTCTTGCTTTTCTGTTCCTAGAGCTTTGCTTGGTTGCCAGTAGATAAATCCTCCCCAAAATGGCCTCTGATTTTATACTGTACCCTCACAGTTTACCTTCTTAAAAAACTTACCCTTTTTTTTCTTTCCCCATTGCAACCTTGCAAAATTACTTTTTTTTTCTTCCCTCTTTCTGAAGCAGTTTGCCCTTTGGCTGATATATGATTTACCCCACGGTTTGGGTAAAATCACCCTGCACCACACTGGTGGAGGCAGGGGCTGACACACTGGAAAAACGGAGAGATTTACAGCAGCACGAGAAATATGGACAGGAGCATGCAGCTGTGACTAGAACCCCTGGGAGAACAAGGCAGATCTTTTTGGTCCAAAAGCCCCTATGAGAATCATGTTAAAGTTGCAGTAGAGAGGCCAGCAGGGTATCAGTGTTTACCCTGCTGGTATCAAAGTCTAAACGATGCCTTTTGCAGCAAAAAGTCAATACTATTTCCAAGGAATGCAAGATTGTCTGGGGATGTGTTTGCTGCCACCTGCTCCTGACCTCCCCAGCTCCGGATAAAAACCAACACTGCCTGTTTCACCCATACAGAGTGGGCAAGGGGCAGTGTCCTTTTCCTGCATCTCTCCCACCTTCAGGAAGGATTTTTCCATCTTCCCCTTTCTCTGGATGCAAACTGCAGCAGCTCAGTCAGGGTACCACAGCTGCTTCCCTAATACATGGTAGGTCTGACATGAGGGGAGAAGCTGTTGCATAAGAAAAGACAACCCTTAAGCAAGGAATAGAGCAAGATTTAAATTTTTATATACGACCGTTGAGAAAAGAAATGGGAAGTGAGAATAAAATATAGACATGGTATAAACTTCTCTGGGTAAACTTATGGGAGGAAGAGTAACACCATTACAACTCCTCATCATAAAGTATTTAATAATTGTTTTTCCTTTATAAGAGAAGAACATGAGCTGTTTTCTACAGTAGATTCAGTGGAGCTGAGCAGTACTGTTTAGTTTTTTTTCTGCATTAAGAAAGGTCACTAGGAAGGAGGCATCCACTTAAGCAGAGTCGGTGAACTGATGCCACATCCTCCTTTTTCCTTGTCTACAGGTAGACCATATGTTCGGGACAAAGTCTGCCATGAGTTCAAGACCATGGGAAAGGATGACTTCCGAACCATGTAGGTACCTTCTACAGTATTTACCTTTCTAAGAAACTTAGCTCATAGATCTCCTCAGAATTAAACAATACCTTAGGAACAGGCAGATTTGTTTGCTCATTTATTTATTCCCTGCAAATGAGGGCTCCTATTGCTCTTAATGGGCCTGTCTGCTGGAGAAAGGCTTCCTCTGTAGTTGAACTCCACAAAACAGCTAGTGGTCGAATAATGAAGAGCTAATGCATCCAAGGCCTCCTCCAGGCAAAGATCTGCCACCTCCAGCCTGGCAATGCTTTTTCAGAATGTGCCACTGGTTCTTGAAGGACTAGCACTGATGCTTTCCAGGTTTTGTTAGTGTTTTCTTAGGCTGATGTTGATGTAGGTATTTAGGAAATGCAGTGAGTTCATCCTCTTGTCATTTTTGCTCCCAGGACCCTCATCATGAACAGCAGGAAATTCTCCAATGCCACCTTCGAGGAGATCAGCCACCTCGTGCATGAGATTGTCTCACTGGCGGAGACCTGCTGTGCCGATGGTGTTGACCCTTCCTGCTACGATGCTGGGGTACGTTGACCACAACCAGCCAGTGGTCCCTAAAACCATGGATGCATTTGATCAGGGGAGTGTTCTCCAGCCCTGGGCAAGCAGCATCCTCCCTTCCCACAGTCTTCAGCCCTGTCAGCCAAGTCCTGCAGCCCTGACTCGCCTTTCCCTGCCCATCCGGAGACAGCTGCCTGCTGTATCCACCAAGGCCTGGAGCAGAAGCTGTGCCTGGCTGCCCTACAGCACCCGCCGCGCCAACTGCCCCACTATGTTGAGCCTTCCAATGAGGAACTCTGCCAGGCGTTCAAGAAGGATCCGAAGGACTTTGCTGACAGGTAAGGGCCAGCAGGCTGGGCTGGAAAAAAGTGCTCAGTCTTGTTGTGATGCCAAGCCAGGGAGCACATAAGCTGGCCAAAGACTGGAAAACAGTAGCTGAAAATTGGAAAATAATCTGGAAGGATTCTTGATGTTTATCTTAAAGCCTATCCTTTTCTTTCTGAGATGGAGTGAGAAGGTGTGCACTTCTGTCACTTAGGGCCACCAAGCTCTCTGCCAGGAGTAGCCAGGCCACTTCGCAAGAGTGCTTTGATCATAAAAACAGCGTATTAGTTGCTGCAGCTATCTACAGGGGCCAGGAGGTGATAATCCTTGTAGCTCACAGCACTACACATATCTCTCCCCATCTTGCCCCTGCACCGTTGTCCAAAGCAGAAGCAACTGTCTTGGCTCTTGGCCAACCCTTTTCTGGGGCTGCAGGTACATCCAAACAAAATGTTGGTGTATTTTGGATTTGTGCAGACCCCAAGGACAGGATTATCCAAAATGAATGAGAGATGGAGGTGGCCATGCAAGTGGTTAGAGAGGGACTATCAGGTGGGTTGATGGATTGATACATTAAGCCAGCAGCACAGGAAGGTTCCTGCAGGGCTGACATCCCTAGTATAGCTATGATATTCCCAAACAACATATCTGCAACAGAGCACCTGGTCTTGGGGTGTCTGAGGGTTGCCTCTGACACAGGTTCCTGCACGAGTATGTCAGTAGCTACGGCCAGGCGCCCTTGCCCGTGCTCTTGGGCTCCACCAGGAACTTCCTCTCCATGGTTTCCACTTGCTGCATATCACCATCGCCCACTGTCTGTTTCCTGAAGGAGGTGAGTCTGCCCCCCACAGCCTGCTTTTCCCTTTTGTTCATTTACCCCACAGATGCCCACAGCCAAGGGTGGCTCAGCCCTGGCCCCACTTATCTTCAGTCAAGCAGCATGAAGCTGCTGGTTATTTCCAGGTGTTCTTCTACTTTTGTTCTCAGTATTGGGGATTTTCAAGTTAAATTACTGGTCACCACACTGAATTTCCAGATACACGTGAAGTTGGTGGAAAATTCACCCACATGATGGTGGGACAATTTTCATGAAACTCTAATTAGCTTCAAAACTCAGCATGAGAAGAACTGTTTTTGCCTTTTGCAGCCAGTAGTAAAAGAAGGCTGAGTTACAGGGCTGCTCGCAGCATAGCCAAGCAGCAACTTGCCAAATACAGTATTTTTTACCTTGCCTGGGAAGAGTTATCCATCTTTACTGAAGGATGTCTCCACCTTACCATCCACTCTACTGCTACGTATTCTTTTTGCAGAAACTGCAAAGAAAAACACTTTCCCTACTCACTTTGATGTCGAACAGAGCTTGCTTGCGCTTAACAGGATACGGGAAGGACAAAATGAAGTTCAGGTAAAAAGGGAATAAAGTGTTTTCTCTTTAGATCAGGTTAGATGGGAAGTGCTTTCCTATTTCAGATGGTAGTTCCTTTCTGGTTTTCACCAAGATATATTCCAGCAAAGATGGAGGTTACCTCCAAGGAATAAGGCTGATAGGTCTGTATGAGAGTGCTTGGGTGCCACGCACGGTGTGTGGGGAAAGGCAAAAGTACAGATACAAAAATACTAGACGTGCTTAAGTTTGTGAAATTCTTCAGTTCCCTGTATGCTTTGTGTCTGCCCAGCTACCTGACCATGCTTGCCCAAAAGATACCAAGTGCTTCATTTGAGGACCTTTCCCCTCTGGCAGAGGATGCGGCTGAGGTGTTCTCCCAGTGCTGTGACTCAGTGGCCGAAGACTGCATTCAGCAGAAGGTAGGACTGTCCTGAACCATCTTAGTTCTGGAAGGCTCCCAGAGCAGTACACCGAGCTACGTATTTCCTCTCCTTCTCCCTCTGCAGTTGTCGGAGCACACCACAAAGATCTGCACCACACTGTCAGCCAAAGACAAAAGGTTTGCTGACTGCTGTGCAGGAAAAAACATCATGCAAAACTACTTCTGCATCTCTGCCTTGCAACCAGCTGTGGCTCCCAAACTGCCTGAGCTGCAGAAGCCAACCAACAAGCAATTGTGTGATGATAATGGGGCCCTCCACACCAGAAGGTCCGTACTCCAGTACCCACTGCAACTAGTTTCCTTACTCCTTCTCTTTATCACGTAATTTAATTATTATTTGAATTTTTCTATCAGTAGCCTAAAGAAACCCACATGCTATGAGGAGAAGAATTTGGAAGTGCAGGCTGTACATTGCTGCTGCATCCAAGAACTGGCAGCTTTGATGGGATCAGCCAGTGCTAAATTTTAACTTGTTTTTCCTGTCATGCTGCAGGTACATGTTTGAGCTGGCACGGAGGCACACCAATGTCCCTGACGTCTTCCTTGGCAAGCTGTATGATGCCTCTGAAAATGTCATCAGGGAGTGCTGCTCTGCCAAGGATGCTTCAACCTGCCTTGACAGCAAGGTAGCTGGGAGGGGTGCCTTTTGTTTCACACAACATAAACTTCCTTGACATTGTCCACCGCCTCTCTCTCCAGCTCCCACATCCCCCTAAAACCTATGTATGTATGGTCCCGGTTATAGAAATCCCCCTCTCTTGTGCCACACAGCGACAGCAGATGGGAGTAGAGCTGCCTGCCTTCCTGGAAAAGGCTAACCAGCTCTGTGGACAGTACAATGAGCTGAATTTCCTTGACTTCAAGAACAGGTAAAGGCTCCTCACCCTCTGGTGGTGCTCCCAGAAATGCATGCTTAATTTAGCCAAGCTTTTGCACCAGATGTCTGTATGAGCTTAACTTCTCCCATGGCATCAGGGAAGTTTTCCCTGCAGACCATGTCATCAAATTTTGGCAGTGCACTGTGGTTTGGAGATTAAATGCACCAGGGTCCTTGCAAAAGCCCATTCCGCACACTTGACACATTCTCCTGTCTGGCCCCAAATTGCAGGCTGAGGGACAGCATCAGGCAGACCAGGCCAGATGCTAGCCCTGAGCTGCTGACACAGCTGACAGACCAGAGAGCTGATTTTGCCTCCACATGCTGCCCAGCGAACTCACCGCCACTTTACTGTGTTGCACAGGTAAGGCATCTCCCACCACCCAACACTACGCATGAGACTATACCTGCCCTGGGCTTGCCGAACTTCAGTTCTTTCTCCCCTCTTGCAGGTGACCGCAGAGCTGGCAAGTACTTGCAAGCAAGGCTCTTGCATGCTGGTCTAGGTGTGGGACAGTGAAAAACAAGGTGAGGGGTCCAGCTGGAGGATGCAAAATGCTGCTGTTGTCTGGACCAGCTTACAGCCCCCTTACTGATACGTCACTGCAGCCACAATAAACATATTTTAAAAAACACCCTTGCCCTGGGAAGCACCAAAACTTTGCTTTCTTTATGGTTGCATTGTGGTATGCCAGGTTCCAAAGGGGCAGCTCAGACAGGAGGTAAAGGTCCCAGCTCTGGCTGTGGGAGTTGATGTTCTAAACAGTTAGGCAGGAAAATCAAAATCCCGCGTCAAGCACCCACGGAGATGGGGTTGCTCTTTCTGACTGTTCGGATATTGTCAATGTGGAAGTAGGCAGTAACATCACAAAGTGGGCTGTCCATCTGAAATAGAACAGCTCAAGTTTCAGCAGTTGCCAAGAGATGGCGCCTGTAACCCAGGGAAGTGAGGAACGTGCTGTGTCTATAACATCTCCTGGCCCTGCTGCTTTCCAAAGTGGGCAGGGTGATGCTGCTCCCAGTGCTCTCAAAAAGGGATCTGCACAAGGCTACCTGACCTCACTCCAAATAAACCTTGCTGTCAGAAGGCTGGGAAAAGTAATGCCATGTCCCTGTTGCCTGCGTGAATTCTTAGAAGGAAGGGGCTCCTTTTGATACTGTTTTTGGCTGATTGTACCTTTTGTCACCCGTAAGAAACTTCTAAAATGAGAATTGAGCTCCAAGTGCTGACCTTGGCTATGCCGGATAAAGTCTAGCTCACAAGATATTGTAACAGCTTCACAAGAGCTGAGATTACTTGTGAAAACGAACGTCTTTCTCAACAAGACTTAGCACTAGCAGATTTCCTGGGAATTCAGAGAAATGAACCACACTGACGATAGTCCTGTGGCAGCCATACATCAGGGTCACCAAACCCTCCATACATGAAGATTATTCTCTTCTGCTGCATGCACATCTTTCCACAAATCTTTACTGAAGTGGGTTAAGAAGGCATTGTCCCATCCTTATCAGCTCCAGCTTAGCATACCCTGGCTGTTATGGAGCTTCTGACAAGCAGGTCTATCACTTCACCACCCCTCATTTTTGGTGCCCAAAAGGTATTTTGACATTAGATGATGGGTCTTCTTTTACACCCCAGTTTTAAAGGTTTTAAACACAACCTTAAGTATCCACCTTTGCCAGACATCACATGAACTATGCATATCTCTTCTCAGCGCTGTGTTTTCTTCATGAGGCCAGGCACTGTCCCAGCCCACACCACGAGGAACAGGTGAGGGAGCTGCTGTGGGACAGCAAGGAGCATCAGTGCCTGCCCTTGTGATGGCAAAACCTTGCATTGGTCTGAAGGAGACTGTTCTGTGGGCCAACAGATAACCATTTGGGGTCAGAGGCTATCTAAAGATGGGGATGAATGGGATGGTGGTCATAATCACATTTCATTCTCTCATCCACAATTTCAGCTATATTTCCTCGCAGACCAAAGCCTCCTTCCTGTGCCCTGAATTTGTGGAGAGCATGGTTGGGGAAATATTTTTTAGTGCTGCAGTTTCTTGTAGAGTGGGCAAGATCAGCCTCAGAATGCCATTTGAAAAGCAAAACCTTCACACTGACCTATAGTGTTATTCAGGACCAACGCCAGCCCAGTGGGAGGTGGGCATCTCAACACTTCTTTTATGGTGTTTGAAAATGGACATTTCTGCTTGGCATGACCATCCCATGCCATGGTGATCCCAATCTGCCTTGTCTCCAGTGCCATGGAGTGTGTTTCCCCATGCAGCAGGGGGTGAGACAGAGCAAAGACATGCCAGAAAGGCTTCACCCCATTGCCTTCCCAAGCCAAATCACTTTTCTCCTTTTATTTATTTGTAGAAAAGCCACTGCATTTGCTGTCCTGGAGCCACCACAGGGCTCAGAGCAGAGCTGCAGGAGTAGACTTCACAATGTGACCCCAGAGTAATCCCAGACATTGACAAGGTATGTTCACATTCGGGCTTCATAAATACCATCTAGTAGAGGTCCCTCCAGCTTCTTTAGCATCTTGTGAGAGTTCTACCAGCACAGCGGCTGGAAACAGTTTACCTTTAGGTACCTTTACACATGGGAATTTTCATCTTATTCCTTATGCTTGCTGCAGCACCTGCCTGTCTTTTTATTCTGACTGGAAATGTAAATAGTGTGACAAGTAAATAGCATAGTTTTAATTGTAGTGACTAAGCTCTGTGCAGTGTTTCATAGCCGAAATATACTTCTATAGATTTAACTTGTTTCTAACATTGTTGCTTAGGAAAAAAAAAAAAAAGACAAACAAACCACCTGTGGTTAATTGTAAGGAGAACTAGCATTTATTTCTGAGTGAGTGAAAGCTTTCCAAATGCCTTTTCTTCTTCATAGTTAAATTATGGATTAGATGCCTTTCTGTCCTGAGGCATTAGCTGAAAGGTTGGTTGTGGTTGAGACTTTTCTTCGCTTTTTTATTCCTTGTGAACATAAGTATGGCAGAGTCAGGTCCTACAGTAGTAATTCTTTACTATTGCAGAGCAACACAGTATTATGGTATGAGGAATAAAGTACAGAAAACCAATGTCAACCCCTACTTTTGCACTAGGTATTGTAGCTAGTGACCTTCACAGGATGTGAACATTTCACTGACATAGTTCATCTTTTATTGATGAGCTTAGGCTGGAAGGGAAAGTTTATGTCAGAATCCAAATGCATATCAAACAGTCCTTGCAAAGAGCAGGGGCACTGTCTGCCGTTCCTGGAAGATAAAACTCTGCCAGTAACAAAACTCACGTTTCCAGGGAACCTTTGGTCTCTTAATGTGAACTCACCTTAAATAATACCGTACGTGGGTCCTAACAGCCTCAAATTACAGAGACAGGAAGCTCACAACACCTCATCAGTCCGTAATAGAAAGTACCAATCTAGACATAAAAGTCAGGCTGTTCATTCCCTCCCAGTGATCTTGAAGTGATTCTATGACATCTCTGGGTCCTCTTGTTTTGTAGATGTTGGGTAATCTCCCTTTGGCCTTTTCTGTTTAAAAGTCAAAAGAAGGCTTCAAAATATCAAGTAGCAGACTTCAGCAGCACTGGAGGTCTTTCTGTACTCTCCCTGGAGGTATCCCTACCTACTAGTCCCTGAGTAAAAACAAGTAGGTGTAATTTCTTCTTATGTCGCAGTGCAGGGACCCTTCTGCTGTTCCTTGGAAGTGAAAGCCAAGCCATTTCATTTCCTTTTATGTATCATCTAGCTATCTTGGCTGTACAGTAAATGGGCTGTGGTAAAGTCAGAAACTCCGTAACCATGAGGCTGTTCTCCTTCATATCTTGTTATGGAAAACAGTGCAGCACCCCCAGGTTGTGCTTGTATGTTCTCCATTGCTAACATATCATCTCTAATCCAAAATAGGGAACGTGAGGAATAAATGAGCTACTCGTGCCATATTTTCTTGTATGTTCTTATCTGTCTCTCTCCCATTGTTTTTATATGCATGCATGTATGTTTCAAGTACTAATATAAAAGTTTGGGGGAAGTGCCAGTGGTGAGTAGTGTGGGAAGGCAAAGGTGTCAGTGCTGGATCAAAGACCGTACTAATGTGTTGTAATTACAAAATACTGCAACAAACAGAAAATCAGATGTTCTGGGTCAGCATGACATTACCAAAAAAAAAAAACAAACAACAAACCACCATTCATTGTGGTAAAAGGGATGCTCCTAAACATGATAAGATTAAGCTGTCATCACTTTATTCCGTGCTGGGCCTAGAAAGGTTATGCTGACCTACTGATGCAGTGCAGAAACCAAGTATTTGGAGGTGATCCTTTCAGCTTCAGGGATGTATATCTCTGCAGCAGGGAAATGAGACACAGGATATTTCTAATCCCATCATAGAAAGAAATAATTACGTTCTCTAGGATGGCTGTAGCGGTGGCTGCTGGGACACCAGTCAACAAACAGGCATTTGATTCACAAGGTGTAAAATATTTCCCTTCACTATGGTAATACATATTATGAAGAATTTCTTTTGCTCATGCAGGAGTTGATGTTTTGCCTCCACACTCATTGAAAACAGTATTTCAATAAAATCAGGCAAATCTAAATCTTTTGCCTATATTAAGGAATTAAAAAAAAAAGTATAGATCTGGCAATATGATACAAAAGTGCTCCTGCTCTAAGTAGAGGTTTTCATTCATATTTGAATCAGCTCCATTAAAATAATCTCTGGTGCTTTCAGCTGCTACTAAAATCTCTCCAAGGAGGAAAACATGTTGTCATTATTACTGTTTCTGCACTCCACGCAAGTAAATCTGCTTGAAAAGAAAGAGGACAAAAACAATGCTGACTTAATAAGAACTGTTATCACCATTTTTTAAATTTTACACAAGTGTTTTCATTCCGAAGTTAATTTATTACAAGCAGTGATAGAATTCTCAAACTAATATTCTCAGAAAAAATTGTCACAAGTATTTTAACAAGTATGAAGGGCCTCCTGATTAAATAGATGACATAGAGGCAGAGTTTAATTGAAAGACAAACAAACAAGTATGCTGATTCCAGCTGTACAGCTTGAAGAAGCACTAGCATGCAACAGGAATATAAGAGAGATTCAGAAAGCAACAAAGTGAATCGAACATAGATATCTCTAGCAGAGGACAGAGTTTTAGATTTGATGCTATTTGTTTCATGCATGAGCAATCTGTAGTTTAAATTTAAAAATCTACTTACGAAATCAGGAAAACCTACCAGAAAACAGTATTTTGGGATTCTGTACTAGGTTAATCCAGTATGTTCAAGTTGGACATTAGGAAATACCTCTACTCTCTGAAAGTGTGGTCAGGTGCTGGATGTGGCTGTCCAGGGAGGTGGTAGAGTCACCAATGCTGGGAGTGTTCAAGAAACATTTAAATGTTGTACAGAGGGACACGATTTAGTGGGAAATGTTGATGGTAGGTGAACAGTTGTACTGGATGACCTTAGAGGTCTTTTCCAACTTTGGTGATTCTGTGATTCTATGGGTAAATAAGCTGAGAAAGTGCCGTTATTCCCAAAGACTCCTGCCAGTAAGTAATAAGAAATACACAGCATGTATTAGACTATAGTCTGATGCGTTTGGTTTTCTACTCAATCCCCTGTGAGAGTAATATGTGCAACACGGGGTTGGATTTGCGTACTGTATTGTACATGATGCCTGGTGTTTGCTACAAAAGACAAACATTTTTGGCTTTTTCTCTAATTGTTTGCAGTGGTGAAATGACTTTTCTGTGTACCAAATTTAAGATTTGTAAATACAAACTAGAGCAGCAGAGCTATGGAAGATGCACAGTTAAGCCACTGTTAAATCTTTTGAATAGTAAATTTCCTTGCACGTAGAACATTTTACCTCCCAACAAACTTACCCAGTGTCCACAGATCTGTGACTTGTGGCTGCTTCACTTGCGCCATCTGTAATGTACCTTGCTTGGAAGGAGAGTACTCTGCTTGAAAGCCACTCTCAAGCTGTAAAGGTTTCACTTAAATCCCCTTAAATTGTTGTGAAACTTAGAAACTATAGGATAGATACATGAACGGTGAGGTAGATTGAGAACTGGCTGACTTGTAGAGCTCACAGGGTTGTCATCAGCAGCACAGAGTCTGACCGGAGACCTGTAAATAGAAGTGGTCCCCAGGGTTCAGTGCTGGGTCCGATCTTGTTCAACATCTTCATCAGTAACCTGGATGAAGTGTTGGAGTCCATTCTCAGCAAGTTTGCTGATGATACAAAGCTGTGAGGAGTGGCTGACATACTGGAAGGCTGTGCTGCCATTCAACAAGACCTAGGCAGACTGGAGAGTTGGGCAGAGAGGAACCTGATGAGGTTTAACAAGAGCAAGTATAGAGTCTTGCACCTGGGGAGGAATAACTGCATGAATCAGTATGGGTTAGGGGATGACCTGCTGGAGAGGAGCTTTGCAGAGAAGGATCTGTGTGTTCTGTTGGACAACAGTGTGTCCTCATGGCCAAAAAGGGCAACGGTATCCTGGAGTACATTAAAATGAGCTTGGCCAGCAGGTTGAAGGAAGTGATCCTTCCCCCCTACTCTGTCCTAGTGAGGCCACATTTAGAATACCGTGTCCAGTTCTGGGCTCCCCAGTTCAAAAAAGACAGGGATCTCTTAGAGGTCCAGCAGAGGGCCACAGAAATGATAAATGGCCTGGAGCATCTCCTGTATGAAGAAAGGCTGAGTGACTTGGGTCTGTTCAGCCTGGGAAAAAGACGGGGGGGATCTAATTAATGTTTATAAATATCTAAAGGAAGTTGGGAGGCAAATGAAAGAGGCCAGGTTTTTCTTAGTGGTGTGTAGTGAGTGATAGGACAAGGAGAAATGGCTTAAAATTTGAGCATAGGAAGTTCCATAAAAGCATGCAGAAAAAACTGCAGGTAAGGGTGACAGCACAGGAACAGGTTGTCCAGAGAGGTTGCAGAATTTCCTTCTATGGAGATATTCAAGACAGACCCATCTGGGTGCCTAGCTGTGTGACCTATTCTAGGGAACCTGCTTTAGCAGGGGGGTTGAACTCAATGGTTATTTGAGGTCCCTTCCAACGCCTGCAATTCTGTGATTCTGTGATTCACAGGTGTTCCTTTACTAATTTTACTGATCCACATAGCACTTCCTGCTACTTTAGTTTGTGCTGAAATTGCCTGGCTCAGAGAGAGCTACATGATTTACAGAAAAGCACCTTTTTTAAAACATGGTGGTCTGAAGTTGTGGAGTGGTCTTACACTCTTGAACAACTGAAAATGAGATCCTTAACAGTGGAGAAATCTGTAGTCTGAGTGAAAATGAA